ACGTATAAAATATTTTATTAAAACCACCCGAAAGTATTTATAGTAAATAACTTATAAAATTTTGTATCGAAGATTTATAAAAGCTGGCCTGGCCGGGTTATGAGAAACAATTAATTAATTTCATATGGCCTTATATAAACTAGGTTAACCATATATGAGATATGAAATACTTTAATAAATTTTCTGTCAAAAATAAAATAATTCTAAGAATATTGATAAAAATTATGAACTTTGGATAAATTGTGTTTTGAAAATGTTTCATAATATAAGTTGGATTGCATATGCAAAGAATTTAAATAAGACCTATAATTGGTTTGCAAGTATAACATCTAATGTAAAACCTATATAATAATATATAAACAGACTACTTAAATTAAGAATAAAAGTGCATATGTAACTAGCTATAACCACTTATGTAAGAGAACCCTTGAAGATTCCGTATCTATATAATAACTTGAATAAAATCACTTCCCGAAAACAGGAACTTTAACAAAAAAAAATATAAATAAAAAATAAAATAAAAGTTACCAAAAAGAAAAAAAATTTTTTGCTGTTAAAGAATAAAAATACTCTAAACTTTATAAATTCAATTAAATAAAATTGGCCAATCACGAGAAAGTTAGCATCCGCCCTGGTGGATTCCTCCAGTTAGGTAATCTACTTATTGTATAAATTGTATTCTTGATAATTTTACAAACCACTACCTTTAAATGTATCAAAAAAGCAACCCTTAACCTTTAGCCATCCCGTATCAAGAAATTTATTTGACGATCATATAATTTCCGATCATATAAGTGTCCTCACAGCAGGATATACACAGCCACGATGGCAGATTACACTAAGTTTTTTGATCCTCTTTCCTTAATCTTACAACATGAGGGCCTAGATGAAAAAAATGAAGAAAATGAGATAATCCATGATGGTTCAGGTAGGATCTATTTTTATTTGAGTTTTTTAAATAATGTGAGAGTTTTAAAATGGTACTGTATTTGTACGTTGAATGATACTAGATCATTCAAGTCAACCTTCAACTTCACAAAATAAGACTTCATTACCAGAAATAGGTATTAGTAGTTTATTTTTTATTTTATTTTATTTTTACCAAATAGCCAGCAAGCTTTGAATTATAAAGTTGGCTTAGTAGTGATCTAAATTTTGCAATCAGACCAGACTATTTGTCAAGCATGCCATATTAACAAGTGGAAATATAAATGTCCAAAATGTGAATTTCATTCGTGCTCTTTACCATGTTCAAAACTACATAAAGAAACATACGATTGTGATGGCATAAGATCAAAAACTACTTATATACCAATGGATGAATATGGGTATAAAGAATTGATGAGTGGTACGTATTTGTATCATCGTTATATCTAGCGTTTAGAAAGTGGTTTTATTATATGAAAAATGATTAGTTCCAGACTATTTTCAAAAGGTTTAAATATGTGAATTATATTTTATTTTTAGATTATGTCTTTCTCGAAGATATATCACGTGCAGTGGATTTAGCGCACCGTACAAGAATTGATCAGGGACATAAATTTTTTCGGCGAAAATATAGAAATTCATCAAAAAGCCGATTAACGAAATCTAATGATACACGACGCTTATAATAAACATATTACATTATATATTAATATTTCAATATTGGCCAATAGAACATTTTAGTTCGCAATGCATTTTAAGCTGCATAAAAATTTTTTATTTTACGTCTAAAGCCGTGTGCGGTCATATGTTTTTGATTTTTTAGGATAAGGGTTAAAGTAGGGTTAGGGTAAGGGCAGGCCTTATAGTAAAATTGCCTCCCCGACATTTTTTATTAATGCCCCAAGGTACTCATTTCTTTTATTTTTGGTTCGATCAAATCAAATAATTTTATTGGCCTCGCGTCACGTGACCACACACGACCCTTTATTTATAAATAAAGGGAAGATCGCCAGAAAAATTACTATGCAATTTTACTGTCACGTGATTATCTACGAAATGAGCCAATAATGAAACATGATTTAGTGTAACGTTACGCGATCAGAAAATGCAAAACAAACGTTCGTTTAGTCTAAAATCGCTTATAACTCAAAATCTACATAATAAACCACCTTCTGCGCATTAATAAAAAGTTTTCCTTGAACTATTTTACTATTAGAACCTCTAAATTCTAATCCTAACATAGCATTAACCCTAGCATAAACGAACTTAAAGAATTTTGTCGTATCTCACGTGACAGTAAAATTTTTTATGGCGATACTGGGGAAGATTATACCGACACAGCATACACGTGACTAATTCCGCTAGACCTAATCGCCAATCTTAACCTTAATGCCAGCCATGCTGTGTCTATTAGTTTAATGCTGGCCATTTTGCTGTGCACAAAATCACGTGTATGCTGTGTCGATATATTTTCCCATAAATATTGAAAATTTTTATCAATTGGCCTAAATTATAACCCTAACCCTAACTCTACCTTTATTTTCAGATAACAATCTATATGAGTACAAACATATGTTATCTATTTTTAATAAAGACTTATCCGATTCAAAGAATTCAGATACAACTTGCCATAGTAATTTATTTACTTAAATTGCAAGATCGAAATTATCAATCGGGTTTAATTTTAGCCAATCAAAATTTTCGCAAATCAGTCAATAAATCAACTTGCCTTATATAAGCCACATCTGTTTCTAATAGTTACTTACACATCACATCGAAAATGCTTTCAGTTGCCAACGTATCCCGGTCTTTCTCAGGATTTCGTCTTTTATTGAAGTCTCAGAAGTTTCATATTTCTTCAGAGGTCACGCCTTTTACCAGAAGCTTCGCCTCTTGCCGGAAGTTTCGCTTTTCGCCGGAAGCTTCGCCTTTCGCCAGGAGTTTCGTCTTTCGCCGGGGTTTCGCCGTTTCGTCAAGTTTTGAAAACTTTCCAAGAATGGAGAGACAACGGCCAGGAGACTGGATATGTAAAAGTTGTGGTGTCAATAATTTTTCATATCGAACAGAATGTTTTGAATGTGGCGAGAAAGTTCAAAACCGAGAAGTAGCTCCTGGTGATTGGATTTGTCCGAAATGTGAATTCTATAACTTCCAAAGTCGGTTGGCTTGTTTCAAATGTCACTCACCGGCTCCAAACTTTGAACAAAATCCTACTAAGGAACATCAGGAAAATTGATAGTTGCTTAATCAATGGGTTTCTTTCCAAATCTTTAAACCAAAAATACTTGTCGAAAAAATCACTGACTATTTTAGCATATTGCAGAACTTCCTAAAAATGTTGATTTTTGTTATATAAAATATCAAGCTTATTAATAAAATATACATATTTTTTATATATTATGTATATAATAGAACATTTATATAAGTAATCCTAACAATAAAATATTTAAAATTTTTATCCTTTATTTTTTTTTTGTCTTTTATGTATGCCGGATTTTTTTAAACTAAACCTACCGAAGCAAGTTTGTGCTTAATGGCCTCAATTTTATCACACTCGCATTTTTTTTTTACAATACTAGTTTTTGTACATATCGATATAAACTGGTTTTTTTTGAACAGATTTTTTATACTGAGGTTCGAAGATTATCGTTGTTATTTTACATCAACCAATCATAATTGAAACATATTTATATAATAATACTTAAATATGTTGTTGTCACATGACTCGCATGTATTAGCTTAATTGGTTAAAAAATTTATCTGAAAATTTATTATATACATATATTAGCGAAGAACGAAGTTTCCGTGATCTTGATACGTATAGTGGTCAGGACCATTCATACAATTAGTTGCTTCAAAGTTTTAAATAGATTGGTTGCCAACTTGGCCAACTTTTCAAGTGACAGATTTTCGATTTGTATCACTACCGGATGAAAGTATACTCCAACGACTCTTTTTTTGCCATACTCTACCTGAGACTTTTAATTCTATAGATCTGTAAGATTAGAAACATCTTCAAAAGATGAGGTTATCCAAGCTTAAAGTTTGGAAAAATCGAGATTAACCTCGGAGAAAGTCTGAACCTATAGAATTCGTTCAAATTAAGGTTCTTAGTATCTTTTCATAATGTCTAGGATACTCAAAAACAGTTACATGATGGATTCTCGATAATACTGTAATAATAACTATAACTGTATACATATAATTTATTTGACTTTAAATAAAACTCAATTTTTCTTAAACATTCGAGTCTATCAAACTCATCTTTCGTTGTGGCGTAGTTGGTGGTGGTCTTTTCCTTTTTTTTTTGTTGTGTAAGTCAAGCTTAAAATAGTACATCAATAATATAAACTTTCTCATTAAACATTAAGGGACGATTTATCAAGTTGTAACAATAACAATAAATTATTTTTTCACTCGAAGAATTTCTTTTTTTTTTTTTTCTCTTTCTAGTATTTAAAAATCAATAATGTCAGGAGAAAAAATCCGTGTTCAAATTTATGGGTCAAGCGTTGCCGGAAATATTTTTGTACGTAAATTACTAGACCCTAATTTCATAATAATACAATAAACTCTCTAAGTGCAAACTGTTTTGAATGGTGCACTTAGAGGTCTTTTTATTTAGGAAGTTTATACATGGGCACTGATAAAATAATATAACTTAATGCAACGATACTCTATTGGCTGGTTAAATAATCCGCACTTACAGCGAGAATTTTGCGCTTAGAGTTCACTGCAATATAATTTTCCCTCACTTTTCATAAAATCTTCATTTTTTATAATTACAGGTTAAACAAAATCAAGCATCTATCGAATCAATATTAAATTCTAACAAAATCCCTTATACATTTGTTGACGTTGCTGCTGATCAAGATCAATTAAATTATATGAAAAGAAAAAATGGAGGTGTAAAAGAATTACCTCAAATTTTTGTTGATGGCGAATATAAAGGAGTATGGTTATATTGCTTGTTTATTATCCTTTTGTTATCCCATTTATACTAATTGTATTTATGACCTGACAGCTTACGAAAGAACTTGAACAGGCTGTTGAAATGAGAGAAGTAAAAGAATTTTTGGGTCTGGATTGATAAAAAAAAAATTCTTTTTTTGACATTTTTCATAAATAACCAATAGTTTTCCATTCCAAAAAACAATTTTATATTACTTTATTGTATCATCAATTGTTTACATGACATATATATACAAATTTATTAATAATTGGATAAAGTATTCTTGATATATATATATTTTGTATTAATTGTAATAAGTTTGTAATTCAAAACACTAATAATAACGACCTCCTAATATGTCTCCTGATTCTGACTTGTTGGTTCTATTTACCCTAGGCCCAAAAGCTGGCGCCGGTGGTATATATTTTGCCGAATCAAAAACTGTACGACCTCCGGGAACTAATGCCTGGAGGTCTGCTTTGCTTGGAACAATTTGAAACGTCACCTTTTTATTTATAAAAAAATGTTTAATTATCGTGTACTTTGTGGATATGTGTTGAACCTTAAAGTCTTTCAAATCAATATGAAGGAAAAAAAGTTCTACCAACTTTGCAGAGATTGTCACGAGGAACAAAGTTACAAGTGGAATTGGAAAAATCTCACCACTATATTGATTTGAAAGATTCTTAAAATTGAAATAGTTTTAAGGCATACTACGCCATATTTATTTAATAAAACTCACCGTGTCATTTATTCCAACATAGATATTATAGAGTTCATTTACTTCTGAGTACTCTTGTGCCGCATGTGCTGCGATCGTGGGAGATTTACATTTAGTTAATAGGTGCAATACTTCCCTAGCTTCTGTAATAAATCCAACGGCTCTTCCGTTTTGTCTTTTATGTCAAATAAAGATACTTTTCAATGTGAATATAAAACTAATTGAAACTTTCAAAACAATTATACTTACTGATGGTCGTAAGCGTCTTTAGCCAAGAATTTCTTTCCAAGTGACTTAACAGAAAATGAACTTTCAATTTAAGAGAAAAAAAGACGTATAGTAACAAATTGAATATTCAAGTAAAAAAAAAAAATACCTGATGAAACAATACACCGTTCGACACATACTTTCGGAAATCACTACATACTTTTGCTGACTCTTTTAAACTTTTAATGAGTCCGTTTGCCATTTCATAATGTCCCGCAACACCAATAGCCAGTTTTGCAAGTAAAGATGGTGATGTTTGTTGCATGAGGGCTTTGCGGATGGCAACTGATGAAGCATCAGCAAGAGCAATTCTAGAATAAAAACAAAAAAAATTAAAATAAAATTTAAAAAATTAAAAATTTGTCTGCAAAAATGCAAATAATTTTATAAACCAATTTGGTATTTATTTACTTTGATATTGATGTTGATATTTCGGTTAAAACATCCGGAGGTCGGGAAGACGGTGGCTTGTTCCATTTGGGACATACATTTTCGGAGATATACGCGAAAACACCTGAAGCTTTACTTAATATATCCGCCGCCTTTAATTGATTCCAAAATCATTATTCAGTTAAACGTAATAAATTGAATTCACAATTCGCCTACCTGTTTCAGTTTATTATCAATTCCATCTTTCTGCAATTCCTTTTCTATGATGTTTGACGCCCAATTAGAACATGCGTATCCATACGTCATAAGAGTGAAAATTAATTCATAATAAATTCCTCGACATTTTACTCGTTTCTTTTTAAGAACTGAATCACTGAGTGTACAACGCCATGAAGTCTCTAAAACAAATTGAATTAAAGTTGATCTAATTTTTTCAAACAAATAAAATATAGTTTCGGCGTACAATATCTCACCAAATTCCTGTTTCAATTTTAGTTGGCCTCCTTCTAGACAATCGACAATAGCAAATAAATATGGCAAATAATCATCGATTACCTACTTGAACACATGATGTCATAAATATAATTTTGCTCAAAAAGATGAATTATATTATTTCACTTTTAGACATATATCTACATTATCAATACCTTCATGACATTCATATAATCTTTCGGCCCGTCCGTTTTATTAACCTCCTTCAAAGTAGCACGGACACGACCTCTTTGGGCAGTTGCTTCAGAGATTTCATTTATATATAAATTATTCTCGTCTAACAAAAACTCAGTAAATGAAATAGTTCCGGTGGTTGGAAGAGGGTATATAAAACTCATTTTCTCGTAAGAGACACAAAATTCGAATAAAATCTATATTTATCATTTGATTGTTGCACTGCATATAATTCAGTGTTGTACATTTTTCACTGTCCAAAGGCTTTTTTGACCATGTCCAACGTCCAAATGTCCAAGTGTCCAAGAATGTCCAAAGCATGTCCAATTCTAATAATTAATAAATTTTATCTAAAAAATTATGATTATATATTTTTTTAGATTTTGAATATTTTTCACTTAGAAAAGTATATCGATTATCTTAGTAAAATTTTGAGTAATTTTTAATTTATATTTTTGTTCAAAAATATCCAAAAATGCCCAAATTCACGTCCAAAGCTGTCCATTGACGACACTGCATATAATTGTAAACTTGTGTGCATATTCTGCATATTCTTCATTACTATTTTTAATGTTTTTCCACGCGAGGACAAATTTTCTACGATTCCATCAACCATTCAAATCCATTATACAAACTAACTTTCTCTATTTCCCTGTGAACATTAAGGTGGTAAGTTGACTGTCATTCTCGATATATGCTACAAAATTCAAGTGATTACATTCGTTTGTCGCTTTATATTAAGGATGCACCGCAAATAAGGGAATATGCTCGAAGAAGAAGGAGACACGCTGCAAAAGCAATTCCAGATAACTCCCTTCCATTTACAGATGCTGTATCATTAATCAAGGTATTTATCAACCATTGAGCTTATTTATCTGTTACGTCACCTATATCATATCTTTATCATATAGGCTGTTGAAGTAGGAAAACCGAATTCTACATGGGAATTGCATGTAGAATTAAAATTGGGGAAAAGTGCACCTCCAATTCGTGGATCAATTTTTTTACCAAGATCAATGTCAAAAACTAATAAGTTTTTGGTATTTGCAAAGGTAGGCAAAAATGAATATATTCCTCTCTATTGCATACTTTGCAATTAATTAGTTTTATGGAAAGGGCGAGAAAGCACAAGAAGCTTTGGAAGCCGGTGCGCATACTGTCGGTGGCGATGAACTTATTACTGAGGTTTGTTTTTTGCGTTACATTAAAAATTGTATTCTAGCGCATTAAATTCTTGAATTTTATAGATAGCAAATGGTACCTTTAAATTTGAAGGCATTAATAAATGCTTAGCAACTCCAGATATATTTCCGGCAGTTTCTAAAATAGCGAGAATCTTGGGACCAAAGCATTTAATGCCAATGGCCAAGAGAGGTACTGTTACCAATGATATCGCTAATACAATCAAAGATTTGACTGGAAAACAGGAAATAAAGAGTGATAAATCAGGGGTTGTTCATCTCGGTAAGTTTTTCATGTATTCATGTACTTAATCGGCTTTATTTAAATGTAATTTACATTAATTTTGGTTTTTGCTCTGTATAGGAATTGGAAAGGTGTGTAAAACAGTTACAAAATAATTTAACATTATTTATTATTAATATTTATCAATAATTGGAATAGCTTGCTTGGCCTATAACAGATTTAAGAGGTAGCATTTATTTACTAAATATCATATTGTAGATTTTTATATTATAAAAATTACAATTATTATTTTTTTAAAAAAATTCATGAAAGACAATATAAAAGCTGTTTTACAAGAGATAGATAAGCTTGGTAAAAGTCATTACACTAAGGCGCAAGATAGAGGTTAGTTACTATATTATTAATAATTATAATGGCTGATGCGAAGTTGGCTGATGTTAAAATTTGGGTCTCTATTTGGAAATATAAACCCTAACATAAATAGACTTTTATTAATAATAATATTAAATTCTAACCTAACTAAAAATCAAAAGCTAAGAAAAACGGACCAAAAATTTTAAGGTTTCAGATAAACATAGATTCAAATTTTAATATTAACCAGTTTTAACATCAGCCGTAACAAAAATAGTGTTTAATTTGGATTTTATTACTAAATATAAAACATTATTTTATAGATATTATAAAAAATGTGGCCTTAAGTTCAACAAGAGGTTCCGGAATTTATTTACTCGATTACAAAATTTTAATAGAAAGAACAAAAGAAAAGCTAACTTTGTAAGTCTTAATTTTATTAAAATAAAAAATCGAATTAAATTGTGAATTTAGTATATATAGTGAAACTTTTTTAAATTTATTTTTTATAAGTATACAATTTTCTTAATATATATTCAAATTTTGGCTCAAATATATACATGGCCTTTATGTAAAGTTATTCTGGTTAATCTTTAGTATAAATGGGCATATATTATTATTATACAATTATAATATATGTAAATTAAATATTTTAAGTTACTTTAAGTAATTTTATAAATTGTTAAAGTTAGGATTATAATATAATTTGATTCAAATTAGGTAGGTTTTATATTCTTAATTTTGCAATAATTTATATACAGTATGCTTATTTATATTAAAGAAGATTTATTACTTTTTTTAATAAAAAGTTTTTGTTAAAATTGTTAAAATTATTTTTTTTTTAAGTTAATAGAGTAGATTTTCAAAAATATTTTTATTTAGAAAGTATATTACTAAAATTAATTGTTAAAATTTTATTAAAAAAATTAATTTTAAAAATAATTGTATTAGATTTTCTTTAACTTATTTTAGTTCAAATTTTTTAATTATTATTATTATTATTATTATTATTATTATTAAACCTAATGTTTAACGTCAGCTAATATCTTTATTTGTGTTTTAGTTAATACATTATATATTACTTGTACAGGATGAGTGTACAACTAGCTATATATGTAACTTTTAGTTACTTATTTAAATAGTTCGCCTAAGGGTTCTACACTAGCTGTCATATCTATAATCTACTAAAAGACTATTTAATTAAATACTCTGGTTTTTATATTGCATTCAGACAATTAGCTATCAAAGTTTCTGTATACCTAAGTGTCATCTAACCTTATATTTTGTCTTACTTCTGTATATCTGTCAAGTTGTTTTTAATTTTAAAGCATGTCATCTGACTATAAAACTCAGGGAGTCTTCTTATTAACTATCTATTTACTCTATAAAATATTAACAGAGTTTGCCTTTGCAAAGTTCACTCAGACTCTAGCACTTACTTCATAGCATATCTTTAGTACTTTAGTATACTTCTGTTTTTTCTCTAAACTCCTAATCCAAATAGTTTAATAAAACTATGATCAGTTTATTGATATATTAGATTAGCTTGATATCTTTTTTTTCTGGTTCTTCTGATTGAAATTCTGGCAACCTGATTGGTGGTACCCTCCATCCTTAGGTTTTTGCCTATTCAAATACTCTATATTGGTATTTTTTTCCTAGGTCTAGCCTTTACAATAGTACTATTGAAAATCCATGTTATCTTTCTACTCAGATCTTCCTAAATGAGTTTTTTGTTTTCTAATTTCTACAGATTTATACATCTACAAGAACTTATTTTGGGTTTGCACTACCCAATGTCAGTTTGCATTCTTTTGTATAACTAGTTATACAAATGTCTTATGATCTGTCAATCATGCTGATATAATTATAATTACAGATATCTTAATCCAATTATTAGAAACAGTTGTCATAATATAAATATTATATAAGTAATTATTCAAATTTTCATTGTTTATAGTTTTTGAACTTACAATCTATTATTTGAAAGATTAACAACTTATTCATTTCACTAAATTACTATACTTTTTTAGTTTAAATTCAATTTAAAATAATTAGTAAAAGTATAATATTATATTAGTATTTTCTTATAATACAAATATAATTAGAAAACTTTAAATTTGAAATTTTTATTTCTATATATATATAATAAAGTTTTTATTTTGATATTATTAAAATAAAAAATAAAAATAAAAATAAATATAAACCAATTTGTCTATATTTTAATTTAAAAACAAATACTAGTCAATATATATTATCAATAAAATCCTAGATTATATGTACTTATCTTAATATTAAAAAATATATATATATATTTTAATTTAAAAAATAAAGTTTACTTAAATTCTAATATTAATTTTATAATATGTTTTTTTTATTTATAACTTTTTTTTTTATTAAAAGCTATACTTGTAGTAATACTTTATTAACTTATATTAGGTTAGCTATTACAACTATTTTTACAAAGATAAGAGTACAGCTAGTCATATGTGTAACTTTTGGTTATCTATTTAAATAGTCTACTCTAAGGTTCTACACTAGATGTCATACCTATAACCTATTAGGAGATTATTCATTTAAACTCTTTGATCATCTGTTCTGTCATATTGGAATTTCAACTTACCTTCCATATATACCTAATCAGTATATCATCTGAGCAGTATAATACTTATTCTTTTTATACTAGTTCTCAGACTATTACATATTTTAAAGTATGTTACTTACCAGTAAGACACAAGAGGCCTTCCATTGTTAACTATCTACCTCTTTTAGAACACTAACATGAGCTACTCTTATAAAGTTTACCCAGACCCTAGCACTGACTTCACAACATATCCCTAGTACTTTTAGTATATTTTTGCTTTGAACTCAGACTTCTAATCCAGATAGCTTGAAAGAACTGTGATCTGTTCTTGGTATATTAAGGCTGGCCTAATATCCTTTTTTTTTAGTCCAAAATTCAGCAACCTGGTTGGTAGTACCTCTTATCTAAGGTTCTTGCCTACCTAATTTCTTCACATTGATATCTATTTCCTAGATCTAGTCTTTATAGTAGTATTATTAAAGATCTATATTATCTTTCTGCTTAGAATTTTTAAGTAAGCTCTGGCTTCTTAGTTTTACAGATTTACATAGTTCAAAGACTTATTTTAGGTTTACATTATCTAGTACTGATTTGCATTCCTCTATGTAACAAGTTACACAGATGCTCCAGACCTGCCAGTCATGCTGGTGTGATCATAGTTACAGGTATCCTATTTCAACTGATTAACAGAATGCTATCACCATAATATTGTCTATATATTATATAGGTGATTATTCAAATTTTACTGTCAGTAGGTTTTGAACTCACAATCTACTACTTGGAAGTATAACAGCTTATCCACTTCACTAAGTTGTCACACCCTTATAACTTTTTTTACTTATAACTATATTTGATATTTTTAAATTTCTAATTTAGATAATCTAACAGAATTGTAATTTATTGTTCAAAGCATAGTAGAATATATTCTTTTATTATATTAGACTTTAATTAATACTATTATATACATTTTGTCTGTTTATTTTTGTATTTTTGATTAGTTATATATTACAAGTTTATTATATTAATTGATAATCTGCCAGTTATTTGAACAAAGATCATAGTATAACATATTATATATTATACTATAGGCTAAAATATAGCATATACCTATCTAAAACTTTTTATAATATTAAGTTAAGAGTCTAAGTTGATTAATTAAAAGTTGTAAAGTTTATTACAGTGCATCTAATAATAGTTAAATTATTCAAATCAGTTTAGTAAATACTGAAATATTATCAAAAAACAATTGGCTGACTATATAAAATTTTATATAAACAAACTATTATTTACATGAAAATTTTATATAATTGGACAATCATTTTTTGACAATATCTTAGCATCTACTAGACTGATTTGAATGATCTAACCACTATTAGATGCATTTCAATAAGCTTTATATCTTTCAATTAATTGACTTGGACTCTTAACTTAGTATTATAAAAGTTTTAGATAAGTGCATACTGTATTTTAGCTTATAGTAAAATACATAGTGATCTGTATTATATTATACTATAATCTTTGTCTAGATAATTAATAGATCATTAATTAAGAATAGAATATATATAAATTATTTTTATATAATTTTATATGTCTTTTTAAACTTTTTACTTAAAATTGATATATATTACTAATAAAACTTTTTTATTTTTTAATTAATTAAAAAAAAAAATTTATAATATTATAAATAAAATTATTTATCTATTATAGTAAAAATTTGAACTATTCAATTATTTTAAAAAAATATATTTGTATATATAATAAAGTTTTCTTAGATTGATTAAAAATTTCTTAGATAATACAAAATTAAAGAATTTAATTAATTAATTTATATAAACCTATAAGTTAATTTTATTATATAATTTTATATCCTAATATTTAAAAATTCTTATTTTAATGAGTTTAAAAATTCTTATTTTAATGAGTTTAAAAATTCTTATTTTAATGAATTTTTAATCAATTTTAATAATTTTATTATCATTAAAATCAAAAAAACCTACTTTACAACTTTTATTTAATAATTCAAATTAGTTTACTTAATATAATTTTTTTATAAATTTAAATTAAAAAAGAATTACTATTAAGTTTATATATAATTTTAAAATAGTACACTTTACTCTTAAATTAATACTGCATTTAAGAAATTTAAACTATAATAAAATAAATTGTAATTATTTATCTTTTTATATAAAACTAAAATTTTATTCTTTAAACTAATAATAGTTTTTGTTTTTTTAGTTTTTAATATATATAATCAATATATATTTTTTTCTTTTAGTTTAAATTTTAATAGTTTAGTTAATATAAATATTTTGTCTTAATACTTTAGTTTTTTTAGTTTTTTAAGCTTAAATTTTTTAAATATCTTTTTTAAAACTTAATTTTTACAATATTATTATCAAAAAACTGTACTAATTTTCTGTTTAAATCTTGCAAATAAGATTTTATTTAATTTTAATTTTATTTTTTTATTTTTTATTTTTTGCTTTTGCTAAAGCTAATATTAATAACAACTATTATTTTTATTGTGTTTTTAATTATATATACATATAATTTGTACAGAGTAAATATGCAACTAGTTATATATTTAACTTTTAATTACCTATTTAAGTAGTTTGTTTAAAGGTTCTATACTAATTATGATATCTATAATCTACTAAAAGATTATTTATTTAAACATTTTAATTTATATACTATATCAAATAAATAGTTATTTGGTTCTTGTACAACTAAGTATTATCTAACTAAATGTTAAACCTTTTTTTGTATATCTGTTAGGTTGCTATATATTTTAGAGCATGTTATTTGACTATAAGACTCTAGAATACTTTTCTGTTAACTATTTA